AAGAAAATATTTAGCAGCCTGCAGGTCTGCCATGCCTCTCGCTCGTCTCAGCTCTTCAACATAGAGAGCATCTCGAATATTGTTGTTCGCACTAAGAAGAGCGCTACAGAACGTGTATGTATAAACACCCTCACGCTCTAAGAAAGACGTTTTTAAATGATCGTCATTTCTAAGGAAAGTCTTAGGCGTTCGTATGCTTCAAAACGTTGATAAAGATACCGAAGCCCTATCGTGTTGTTTCTTTGCCGTAAACTGGATTGAACAAGGCCATCTATGCTCTTTAACTCAATTTCACGGACTGCAATGTCTTTGACGATTACCAGTACCATTTCAAAATGTTTTTCAGCAGGGGCATATTCTTCAAGACGCAGACACACTTGTCCAAGACCGTAATATTCTTCTGTTTCTCCTTCTCTGTCGTTCATTTCAATTCTGATCGCAAGCGCTTTTTCATGATACTCTCTAGCCTTCAGATATTCTCCGAGTTCGTTAAACAAAGTACCTTGATTTCCAAACGCTGTTGCTTCTCCATGTCTGTTATCAATTTCAGTGTTGATTTCAAGTGACTTTGCCAAATATTCCTCATGTAGTGCGACATTTATTAAGTGCATAAAAAACAGCCGCTAGGCTTCCACAATCTACATCTTCTCCTTGTCTAGAGCCAATTTCAGTTCTTATTGCAAGTGATTTCTCAAAATATTCCTTCGCCCTGATATATTCTCCCAGCGATCGAAACAAATTTCTCAAGTTTCGGTAATCTGCAGCTGCTTCGTCTCTGTCGCCAATTTCAATTCTGATCGCGAGTCCTTTTTCGTGACATTCTTTAGCTTTGGCGTATTCTCCAAGGGACTGAAATAGAGTTCCGAGGTTTCCGTAATCAGCTGCTTCTCCTTTTCTGTCGCCAATTTCTCTTCTGATCGCAAGCGCTCTCTCGAGATATTCTTTAGCCTTTGTGAATTTGCTGAGCAACTGAAGCGCAGTTCCTAAGTTTCCGCAGATTCTCGCTTCTGTTCTCTCCCCAATCATATTTAGAATCGCTAAATGAATGCTTTCTCATGATATTATTTTTCCTTATTACCATCTCCAAGGTTAAAAAACACACTTCCTAAGGACCCGTAAACAGTTGCTTCACAATTTCTGTCGCAAATTTTCACACTAATCGCAAGAGCTTTCACGAAGTATTCTTTAGCTTTAACAAAATCACCAAGCGAACTAAACACTTTCCTAGGTTTATGTAATCCTTTGCTTCTCCGCTCCTATCACTGATCTCAGTTCGGATCATAAGTGTCGGCTTTCTCGATATATTCTATAGCCGTATATGAGCACGATCCTTCGCAGTAAAGCACTATTTGAGCAATAGTGAAAATCAGACCTGAAAAAAATTTCAGGCCTGTACGGGATTCGAACCACTGACCTCTGCGATACTAGTGCAGCGCTCTTACCAATTGAGCTAACAAGCCAACTGAGAGCAGGTCATCAAATTAATTCGACATAAACCCGTAGATGATAAATCAAACAACAACAAACATATGAAACATATGTGTGAACTGCGGTTATGAGACGTATATGAGCACGATCCTTCGCAGTAAAGCACTATTTGAGCAATAGTGAAAATCAGACCTGAAATTTTTTTCAGGTCTGATTTTCACTATTGCTCAAATAGTGCTTTACTGCGAAGGATCGTGCTCATATACGTCTCATAACCACAGTTCACACATATGTTTCATATGTTTTTTGTTGTTTGATATTCTATAGCCTTGGCATATTCGCAAAGATAGCGAAACATAACTCCTAAGTTTCAATAAGCCTTGGCCTCTCCGTCTTGGTCACCAATCTCCTTTCTGATCGTAAGTGCTCTCTCGATGTAATATATAGCCTTGATATATTCACTGAGCTCTAAAAGCAGTTTTACAAATTCTCCACAGGCATCTGCTTCTTCTTTGCTCTCACCAATTCGTACTGTGAGGTTTATTACTCTTTCATAAAACTCTTTCGCATCGACAAAATTATTTAGTCTAGATGACATTCTTGCAATTGCCAAGCTGAATCCCACTTCTTGGGCGGCGTCAAGATACTGTGGTTCAGTTCGGGGAGAAATTTTCTCGCATATTTTGACGAATTTTGTGAATCAGAAATAAGAAAATATGCTTGGAACATCATCAAATAGATACTTTGGTAAAGTTGACTTGCAACGTCATATTCTTTTCCCAGCAAACTGGCATTTATTAGGTTCAAACATTCTTTGTAGAACTCGATGACTTTGCGAACTCGACCAGTGTTTATAAAAAAAGAGGCAACATCTACACCTATGAAGATCGTCCAAGTCCTGGTTGTAAAATCCATTACGGTGTCACTTGTAACTGTGAACAACTGAAAAAACATAGGAGGAACATGAATGTTTATATCGAGACAAGCACAGTATATCAACGCCATTGGACTGAAGGTCAATCAATGAAAAGGAGAAGATCAGGTCAGCCAAAACATGGTGGAGAATTGTTGAGGGCAAAAGACAAGCCGCCGGGTGACAATAAAGTGAGTGGGATTGTCAAAGCAACAGATCAAAGCGAACGGAGATAGAATGGAAATGCTTCATGTGCCTTGCGACATGCAAGTACTGTAGGACATGATACGGCATCAGAAACGAGGACATGTTCTCTTGATAAAGTGCACGGTCTTTGTAGCCTTTCGTGTCACACTTTCCTCGAATACAAACATGAAAACCTGAGGATTTTCATGTTTTCATTCTAGAAAACTGCGGTCAGTAGTTTTGGACTATGCACTTCCACTTAGTCTTGAAACACGGCAGCATTTTGACCGTTAATTTTATGACCCCGTTAAGTTTCGTAGACGCTTGCAGCTAAATGCATCACATTCACCCAAGGGATTACAATCTCTTGATTGAGCATGCATTGCTCGTAGTAAAGATAATTTTCGAACTGATGTCAGTTAATTGCGTTCCTTGAGACAGAAGAGACAAACAAAGGATCACTAGAAGGACATAAGCCTTGGCGATGTGACTGATGGAAGATTCCGAGAGGAAATTTTGAAACTTTCATTTTTAAAGGGACTTTTATTTGAAATTGTAAAGCGCGTAGAGTTATTTTAATGCGCTATATAAGAACTTATTATTAAATTAAATTAAATATTAATACAGGCCCGTACGAACAAATTTTAAATGATTTAGCGGGCACCTGGGAAGGCACAGCTGTGGGTGTTGGGTCCGGGGACACCGGCAAAATCTGAATCTCTTTAATTCCTGACAGGCAAGTCTTGCTAAACTCCTTTGGGTAAGAAACGCGGACTTCTTAAGACTGAATATAAAGCGATTGAAGGGGTAAGTATCTTAAGAAATTGCGGTGCTGCGTCAGTTAGGAGTATGTCAAGCGAATTTGGTTTCATCAACCGAGTTGTTAATTAACAAATGGTAAACACCACAGCGTACACTATTGAGATATGGGGGACGCTAAATTGACCAATCAGAGCGCGCGCTTTACTTTGGTTATGTTATAATGTAAATTGGCCACAGTAAAGAGTTTCTAAGCTGACGTTTCGATCGGTAGCACCTCGTCGGAGCGAATACGCTCTGACCAAGGAAGATTGTTCTATTCCCAAAGATCGAAAATCCTATGAGGAAGTTCGCCTTTTATCTCACAAGAGACTTCTGTTAATTAAACATACATTTCTTTTACTTTAACTCCGAACTTGAAAAGACCGATGAAGGAAACTTAGTAAAAGTAATCGAGTTAAGTTCCAGGCAAACCGATATGACGATCTGGAGTCGCTTCGCCTTTCGTTCTCTGTCTGTTGAGAAAGTCGCATAATAGTAAAGGAGTCACGCTAAAGCAGGGTCTACTAACACTGCAGCTCGAGCGTCGAAGCAGTGAGATACGAAGACACGCCAAAGAGAGAGGTCTACCAGGATATTTTGGTATTCGGGAATCCGGTACATGAGGGCCAGGGGCCTGTACCCCCTTCCCCCGCTTTTTTCTGAGAAGAACTTGATTTAACATGCGCCTTTCACAGAAATACCTATTTGCAGTATTATCGTTCCGCCGATCACAATCGAACAGTCGTTGTTCCGGATCGCGCAAGAATCGTTGTTCTTCGTACGACAGCGCTAAGATTCGATTCGGCTCAACTTTGGTTTCAACCAACTTACCGCGGCCGTAGCGATCACAGCCATCATATATGTAACCCAGGCTTTAGGAGAAACAGAACACTAGAGTAAACTCTCACTGGGTACTTAACTGCAGTGTTCAGTGTTACTGAGTAGTGTCCTAATAAATATCAGTTTGATTTCTTCTTTCAAAGGAGACGGGCATTATGACAGATTGACATCCTTAATCTCAATCCCAGGTCTCGTTCACATCAAATCTTCGCCGAGGGAAGTTTGGGTAAATAATTACATTTCTGGGGGTGGGGGCACTTAGAGGGTCTTCTTCGACACAGCCACAGAGGTCCAGCGTTTGTCAAACCGAGAAGTTAAGGCACGTGCTTTTAAGTTTTTCTGAGGTTGTTTTTGAATCTCCGTTAACTTGCAACAAGAGAGGAGACAAGGGCGTTGTAATATAGCGTAATAATTTTTCACTCGCGACAATTTACCCACGATTTGGGAAGTAACTCAGCGAGGTGCAACCCACGGACAATTAGATTCTCCCATCATGAATAAGTAAGAAATGAGGTTTAGTAACATACTGGTATTCACAAACCGTGCGGTGCAAGACAAGATAACTTCTTTTGATTCTTAACTGTTGTTTTCTTTATGGAAATATTTTACACTGACAACGATTTGGAAATTTTCATTTAACATCCTAGTGTCAACATTTTTCCGATGTGCGAGATCTACCCCGAGAATCCTCTCAACTTCATCTAATAAGACTATTTCTTGACGGATTATGTATTATCCCAAAGTGATGCAAAGTTTCTCGATACGTTTATCCATTTTTTTTTTTGATACCCGCGTATAATTTAAACAATAAAGCATGGAAAACACCACCATGTCCACAATATAAAATCTATAAATATTTATATTAATTATTTCATCAGACAAATGTTAACTAATCAATACCTTCTTATCGGACAACTTCCCTGTCATGAGTGATGGCCAACAATTTACAATTATACAAAGTGAGCTCGAATCATGCTAATTAGTTCCAATCATAAACTGAAAATTGAGGTTATGTAATATAAAATCCCTGATATTCATTGGTTAATATTTTTGTGCGGGAGGCCTACATAGAGAAAAAGGAGGAGTCATATGCATCTTTTCAATCGATTAACACACCCATCGTATAGTTGACCAGAATGTAAATTCTAAAAATTAGGCCAAATTTAAAAAAAAAAAAAAAAGTGGAAAATTCTGAGGGAAAAGGGACCGAGAAAGAAATGCTTGATGAAAGACGTGAGATCATGGTTATCACAAGCGACGAGCTTTACCAAAAATAAACAGGTTAGAACTGGAACACAGCTGATTGTTTAAGGGTATTTAAGCGGTTAGCTTCACCGATGTTGAATGGTCCGGCCATTCTATGATAAGAATCTTGGTGTTCTCTAAAAAGTTAAGGAGACCAGGCAGCAGAAAGCGGAACAAGAAAATTCAAAGGAAAGACCCGCTCCCTTTTCGATTCTCTATCCTCTTATTGCATATTTTCCCCAAAAGCCAAGGAAAATTCTGAAGAAATACTATATAGTATAATACTTTTGGTCAATCCTCGAGGCCAGGAAGAAATGAAAACAAAAAGGAAAAGGTGAAAAATTGTAAAACAGCCCCCTAATCCATCGAACATCCCTCTTCCCCCTCCCCCTCCCAAAAAAAGAATAAAATTAGAGATTCTTAGGGTGTTAGATGGACAAAGGTCCCCTAAAGCCGCGATACTCTCGGTCAGCACAAAAATTATCATTTCTGGACGGTAATGCGTGGGCTCTGGGTATAGGATTCCTGTAAATCTGATTATATATGTTCTCCACATAGCAGAGACTATTTTGGTATAAATTAAAAACACGTTATAATTGTTTATTTTTTAGGATCCCTAAAACGCGAACCCCGAAAACAGTCGTTGTCATTTGAGCGTAGCTAACGATAACTTTAAAAAATAACGATCCTAATTACTGATTTGCCATTCCCAGCTTCACAACATTCCCACTCAACTCGATTAACTAGAAACCACGGATAACTGATCAGCGGTCACCCCAAGCTCGCTCATGAACAGTCAAAAGCTTGTCAAGATGGCGTCCAAGCTGTGATAACAACACCAAACGCAATCGTCCAGAACACCACACCTTTGCTAATGATAAGACTTCACTTTGTACCGCAACACCAAATAGGCCGCTAATCTCAAAATAATGAAGAAAAGAACGAGGACAAGGCAATCAAAATAAACCTTGGCGCCTTCTAAATACAGTGCATTTTCTTCCACATCCATGGACGCCAAAACGTCTTCACTGTTCGTAAATATACAGCGTTTGTCCTTGCATTCTAAAGGTCCTCTTTTATTGCCGTATATGGCCACAACTGTTCCTTCCCAGCTGTACCGCGCGTAGGACACGTATGTGAGCCACTGCATGTACTTAGGAATGGTATCGAAGTTCACGAAGAAACCGCTGAACAGTAGGACAGGGATACCAGTCACTGGAGCGACGTAGACCGCGGTCTAAAACGGGAAATAAAACGATGAGACATTTTTAACTGCTAGAAAGAGGTACAAACAACAAATTACACGAGAAACACAAGACTAGTGTCTTAGGCACAAGCAAAGAAAGAGCTAAACCAGGGGAAGGAAAGTCTGCAGGCAACAGAATAGGCTGAAAGATCTTCAGGATTGAAATGCACGAGAAGGAGAGCTGTCTGCATGTTACACTTAGGTGTCACAACTCACCGGAAGACTGGGCGCGACTGTTCCTATTAAAAGCCCAATGGATTGCGCTACAAGACATGTGAGTATCGTGACGGCTACAAACTGAGTGTAACGCAATCCTTCGTTTGGTTGATCCGTCATGAAGTATACTATCGTACAGTAAATCACTGGAAACAAGATCTGCAAAGAGAAAATATATTTACTTTGCAGCTCCTCGCTGTTAGTTTGTCCACAGCCGGTTTTTTTTTTTAACAATTAGGAAAGGGATACCAAAGCAACAGCTACCCTCGCCCCGCCACGACTCCCTTGTGTTTACATTTAATGTATCCCCCATGGCTTTTATTTCATTTGCGCTCTGGGTGATTACCTTAGAGACAATAAACGGTCTAAGAAAAGGCTACCTTACAATGTTCTCGTCGTGAAAAATCACGAAGTCAATAACTTAACGGTTTGAGGGCTTGTCCAGATCCAACCATCAACTAACTTTTCTTATCTATAATGCTACAAGGCAGGCATTATGGGAACTGATTATCAATCAAATTTTCAACTATCCTTACCTGTAATGGAACGTCCGCCATTGTATTTGCAAGGTAGTAAGACTTGAGGCTATACCAGTTGTTTAAATGCTCTCGAATAAACACTAGTTTTTCCATGGGGACTGTATCAGAAAAAAAAAAATAGTAGAATAATTTCGCTCATTGGCTTAGTTTAAGGAATGACCCCCACCCCCTCCCCCTTCACTTCAAAGCACTTCAACGCCTCTGCTCTTTATGTACCTTGTAAGAAGAGGAACGCTGTTGAAAAACAAACAAACAAACAAACAAACAAAAACAAGAATAAAAAGAAAAGAGAATAAAACGAAATTGAAAATGCTGCGAAACTGAACCATTTTACAAACAAAATCGGGTTACAGAGGATCTTGGTCCACTTACATGTTAACACAGTGGGCATAAGAGATGTGAACATGAGAAACAGGAGCGAGAAAAACAAACAGCCAGTGTTGTTGAAGACTTTACTGCCGTCATTACCAATACCATGATATAAAAGTCCAATGAGAAGGCCAACAGATGCCGTGGACACGAAACGTAGGTGAGTAAAAATGCGATCCCTGAAGATGGATTGTGCAGCTCTTTTGAACAACACCAGGAACTGTGGATAAAAGGAGAGTAAAAGTTAGGCATCTCTGCAGAGAAAGCGGCCTTTAACTGGGCTAATTGTATTGTCAAAGAACCATCCAAACTCTGTTAGCTGCCAAGAGAAATAACAGAACAGTTTCTATTGAGAAAGGTTTACCGCTAGAAAGGTAAGAGTTTCTCCATTCGCACACGTTAGGGTTTTAGCTCCCAAACGCCGATTGGGATATTTTCAAAATCATAAATCAAGGTCCCACTCCACACCAAATCAGCTCACTTTGGTTACTTTAAACCCTTTGACCCTTATGAGTGACCAGCATCTAATTTCTCCTTACAAAATCACCCCTGAATCACACATTAACAGGGGCGGATCCAGGAAGTTTTGATTGGGGGGTTCCAAACTTTGGTTCAAAAAGGACTGTTAAACTGTTTTGAGGCAAATTACTTCTCCCCCACACCCCCTCCCACCAGTCGCGGTTGCACGTTATAATTCCTTGGCCGCTTACCGTTTACTGGGATTCATTAATTTAAAAAATCAGCCAGTTAAAAGTGATAGACGATCCTGCGGATGTAAGAATTTCAGTCTCAAAGTTGTAAGCGTCAGGTCTGATTGGGGGGGGGGGGATCCGGACCCGCGGACCCTCCCCCTGGATCCGCCACTGCATTAAGGTCATGAGAATAAAGGAAATGATCATCAACTAAAAAAAGTCTTGCTTGCTGAACAAATTCTCCTCGTCAGCTTCTTAGGAAATGTATAGAGAAGAGTATGGAGAATCTGCAAACTGATGTCAGGGTGTAAGGGGTTGAGACCTAATCACTTAAGCACCTGAGTGGTTTGACTTGCAGCGTGTATTATGCTATCAGTACTGGTCTTGACATTACAGTTTGGTAACATCGACACCACCATGTTCCTTGAGTCATAGCTACAGTTAGTACTACTGGTCAGGCTCTTTTTCTGTGTCACTGCCTCTTCACGTGCCTTCCAAGCCTTGACTAGGCTGGGTATCACGTTCTCGCCATACTCACCAGATGCTACTTCTATAACTAAAACAATAAAACAACAACACAACAAAGGGTGAGGAGAACTGACATCTCCGCTGCTTAGAAGTGAGCCCGCGCTCCTTTTCCGAAGTTTCTTCTCGAGAAGATCGGAGGGCGGGAGCTCTAAAATTAGTTTAGAAATAATTATGTCCGGCGCTTTAACAATCAGAATGAAGGAAAACATTGCAAAGAGCCTGAGAGGAATCGAAGTTTGACGATAAAGAGTCGGGATTGGATAAATTTTGCTTTTGATTGGTCGTGTATAAACCAAATCCAAATCATTTAACACCAGAAAATTTTCGGTTCCGTACGTAATTTCTCCACGACACTCACAAACTAAAACCAAACAAAAATAGAACCAGAAAATAACCAAAATTCAAACAAATAAACTAAGAGACCAAAGAGCCCTTGAGTTCATGCAAGTACTTACTGTAGTCTGCAGGATTGTGGTATTTGGGGCATACCAGACCCTCTGAAGCCAGGTAAGGTATAAGATCTTGTACAGTGCCTTGGAACAAGCAGTTACCTTCTGCCAAGATGTACAACTGAAAATATATATGGATGGAAATTATTTTCAAAAAATACCCTGACCCTTCTGGAATTGGAAAAAAAAAAAAAAAAAAAAAAAAAAAAAAAAAAAAGAAAAGAAAAAATAAAAAGGAAAAAAGATAGAAAAAAAAGAAAAGAAATCAAAAGAGAAAAACATTGCTCTTCTTGTCAATTGAACCAATTTATCTTTTGATTTTTACAAATTTTTAACTAACTTTCACTGTTTAGGTAAGAGAAGAAAAGATTTGAAGGCTCTCTACAGTAGAAACCTGGACAAAATTGAAAAGGGCAAGTACAAGGTTGGTACAAGGTCAGCTCACCTTATCAAACATTTCAAAGAGTTTTGCACTCGGTTGATGAATAGTACACACCACAGTCCTCCCGCCATGAGCAAGTGTCCTCATAAGACTGATACACTGAAATGCGGATGAGCTATCCAGACCACTAGTTGGCTCATCAAGAAAGATCATGGGTGGATTGTTCACCAATTCCAGTGCTATTGCGAGCCGTTTCCTCTGGCCCCCAGATATCTCATTGAGCCTTGTGTTGGTGGTCTCTGTAAGGCCCAGGTTCAATAGGATTTCATTGATCTGAAAATGTTACAGAAAAACAAGGGGAAAATATTCAAACCCTCTCACAAACTAACAAATAACCAGATAATGATTAGCCATTTATGACTTTAAGACCTGGAGAGATCTGGTTTCTGTTTCCCTTAATTTTACAGCAAGTTTGTTTTATTCTACATCTATGATTAATGGTCAACTTACAACTCTTTCTTTTTCTTCAAAGGATAAAGACTCTCTAAGATGTAAATTTGCAGACACCTGTAGGGGAAAAAATATGGATAAAATACACATTTTACAACAACTCCTTATATCAACTTTTAGTTCAGTCAACTGCAGTTTACAACTGCTGGAAGGCCATATGCTTGTCTGGCAGCTTGTCTACTTTCCTGTGTGTTTGACTGTCTGTCCATCAGGGTTCAGTTGAATAAAGGACAGATAATGCTATTTAACTGATAAATTGCTATCCAGTGGATAAGGGACTGCAAAACCTACCACCCAGTATCCACTGGACAGAAAACTATAGAGTGAATAGCATTATCCAACTTTCAAACAACTGGGGCCAGTTTATGATATGGTTGCCTATTTCCTTCTTGGTTCATAAGTCAATTAGTTCATCAGTCACTCAAGCTGACGAACTGTCTGTCCATCTGCTTGTCTCTACATTTTCTTAAAAACCTGTGCTTATGTCTTTTTTGGTGTGCAAATGAGAGACAGGGTGTGTGTCTTACTGACCACACAATGGCAATTCATCTTCTTTAATACCATCTCAATGTAAGCCCATTCAAGTCAATCCATCTTAAATAGTTTGAAAGTTAGTCAATTGACTGTCTATCTATATATTCTAATTACTTGGTTAGAAAGATGCTAGAAGTCACTTTTCCAACAGAGCATCACCTCTGTCAGTCAAATCAACCAATATCATTACAATAACAAATCCCTTTTTCAATTCAAGTTTAACATATAAAAGGAGCCCACACTTTGCTCATTGCTCTATGCAACTAACTAAACATCCACATTTATCGTAAAATTATGATAAACCATAGAATAAGGTTTATTTTTTGATACTAAAGCAATCTTACCATCATAGATTCCATAACAGTGAGATGTGGCAAGAGTACATCATCTTGCATGATGTAACAGGACATTTTACGGAACTGCCGCAGGTTTCGCTCCATGCCATTGACCAGAACTTGGCCATTTGCTTCTTTTGTTCTAAGGAAAAAGTTGGACAGGCTGTTTTCAGGTGTTCTCCATACTCATCAAAAATAATTTGCAAAGAAATGGAGTTGACTCCTAATATTCACTGTCCAAGCCTTGTTTACCCTAAAAATCTTAATATACTTTCTGCTCTAGGTTATAATAAAGACATTACTAGTTTTAACAAACTTGTCTCTTCTAATTTTTTTTCACATTTTAACTCTTTATGTAACTCCCTGAATTGATTAACATGTATCCTCTCCTTAAAATATCCAAAAAGTTCCAGAAAACAGGTGCTGAGAAGACTTGAACTTATCACTCACAGGGAAAGCAAGGCTGTGCTCTAAGAAAAATTGAAGGGAGCCCAGCGCTCTGAAACTGTGAAATCCATGGTGCCCAGCATATGCTTTTTATGAAAAAACTAAGATTCCTGAGTTGCCCAAGTACAAAAGTAAGGCACCATTGGCCACTGGGTACTGCTAGACCACAACCCTGGTAAACGTTGTTTATCTAACCCCAGATGGAAATGGAAATGGAAAAGGAAATGTGCTGTAGCTTGAGGGGAGATTTAACAATCAGAGGTAGCTCAAAGGTAGTGAATGACTGTAAGTGCATAACCTCAGATTCTAAAGTGCCTTTTGTACTTTACCATGCAGTTGCCAGCCAAAAATCCAGCCAGTGATCACCACTTTTTCATCCGGCTAATTTTGCTGGCAGTTGCAGGTGCTTAGCGACAAGTCCCTATACTTGTTTTCTGGATATTGTATGGATATTATAGGGAGATATTACATGTTAATCACTTCTTGGAGTTAAAAGATTTAAAAAACTGCTCTCCTTCAAAATTCTATTCAGATGAAAACATCTTGGCATAATTTATGCAAATACATGTAGATTTAACTTGAAGATAATTTGGCTCAGTGCAATGAAACCTGCTGAGTACAGCTACTTCATGACACACAGATTGATGTTTCATCTAAATTAATTTTCTTTGTTGTGGCACTGACAATTCATTTCAACTGTAACTTACAATAAGATTGAGTTAATTTTGTCTAATTTTTAAGAAACAGTACTGTAATTACTTTTGGCAAAAATGCTTGCAGCTGCTCTGGCATCTTACCTTGAACTTTACAAATTAATTCTGAATTTCATAACAACAAAATTGTAAATTATAAACAAAGACAGATTTGCACCTGTATCCTGCTAAAATATTTATGAGTGTGGACTTCCCAGCTCCTACAGGAAGACAAAATAGAGCATGTCATCAACACATCCAAGAATCAAATAGTCAACTTTAAGTTAAGCTTGCGACGAAAGTTAACCACTTTTCACCCCGCACAATTTCTCCCACTTTTATTTAAAAGTTAAACACAAGAAAATCAGCCTCACTGAAAGATAAATCATGCTGAATTCAGGAAAGGTGCCAAGTGTCCTTAGAATCTGTTGCAAATTTAACTTATGGCAATCAAGACAGTTTTTGCAACAAAATCAACATATTCTGTGGAACAAGATCACATGTATATGAACAAAAATTTCTTTGAAAAATTGTTAAGTTTGGATTTTCATCTTTTCATGACTTTGTAATTCCTATGAAACCTAAATTTGCATTTTGGCAAAACACCACATAATTAATTGATGTATAGACCGAGATGGTTTTGTAATTAGTTCAGAGAAGAACTGCAAAAGTTCCCATACTTACTTTAAACCAAGACAAACTCTGTCCTTACCACATTAATACAACATCAACCAGACAAGTGATGAGAATCAAGAGAAATATCAATTAGGGGATTATTAGTTGATCCAATACCAAATTCTCCAAACTAAAACAACAAGGATTTTATAGAAGACAGTAGGGAGAATTACTTAAATACGATTGTAGGAGTGAATGGGTTATGTGGATCAGGATAGGAGAAAGCAAACACTGGCACAACAGCAACCAAAATTGTAATAATCACTAGGTAAAAATAAAAAGTATGCCATTAATGAGCTGAAAGCTGCTTTCTAATCCCCCCATTCAGGAATCTGACTTCTCATGTCACAAAGCAGTTAATTGTTTAATTTCTTTTTACAGTTTACATACCTGAGGGACCAAGGACGGCAACAAGCTCTCCACTCTTGAACTCTCCTGACACCCCATGAACAATTGTCTTTCGCTCTAAAAAAAAGAAAACAGGGATAGAAACACTTTTAATATTAAAAAAAAATTCTATATACGTTAGTTTTGCATTTTCGACCCTTAACATTTCAAGAACTGAATTTAATACACTGAGTGGCACTCATTAACAGTTTGAAATCTGAAGGAATGCTGAATCTAATTGAAGAGTTTTTCAGACCTACTGTGGGAACTATATCTAACAATCGTGTTTTTGGTTAATACTGATAAATGTTTCTACTATTTAATCATTATTAATTTTTTACTCAAGGCACTTTATTTTCTGTTTGATTTTTTCACATAAATTTTTCTTTGTTTGGCTCATACCTGGAAGTTTGACTTATTTTTTTTAAATTTCTTTCAGGTCAATATTAATTTCATTAACTTCTGCTGATTGGCTTCCATCACATTGTAATGAAAGTTAGCACTGAAAAATGTTTATTATTTTTTCATTCTTTTTATCCAAAATACTTTATTTTCTGTTTGATTTTTTCACATAGATTTTGCTTTGTTTGAATTACTCCTAGACATTTGACTGTCGGCTTTATTAAAATTTATTTCATGTCAGTATCCAGGAATTTTTGATTGGGGGGGGTCCAAACTTTGGTTCAGAAAGGACTGTTGGACTCTTTTGAGCCGAAATACTTCTCCCCAACACCCCCTCCCACCAATCGCAGTTGTGCTTTATAATTCCTTGGCTGCTTACCGTTTACTTGCATTCATTAATTAAAAAAATCAGCCAGTTAAAAAGTGATATAAGATCCTGTCGATGTAAGAATTTCATTCTCAAAGTTGTAAGCTTTGGGTCTGATAGGGGGGGTCCGGACCCCCTGGACCCTCCCCGTGGATCTGCCACTGGTATCAATTACATTAACTTCTACTGTTAAACGTAGCAGTAAAGTAGTCAATGTACCAGTAGATGGTGACCTAATTTGGTGGATGTGTGGTAATGTTCTTAATACTTTGCAAAGTTCTGAGTACTTGTTTCTGCCATAAATCTTTAGAACTGTTCTACACGTTCTGATGAAAGTTAGCCAATTTTAGCATCTCACAATTTCTCCCATAATTTTTTAATTTACCCAAAAGTTAAACACAAGAAAATCAGCCTCACTGAAAGATGAATCATGCCAAGTTCAAGAAGGGTGCAAAGTATCACTAGAATCTGTAGTTAATTATAAATTGTCTCGTAATGCAAAGTGAGCAATATGTCATGAAAAAGAATCTGCTTAGAACTACTCATTGCTATGCATACATGGGTTAAAAGTACATTAACTTTTAGAGTTTTATCTAAAGATTTAAGGCAGAAACAAGTACTCAGAACTTTGCAAAGTATTAAGAACATTACCTCACATCCACCAAATTAGGTCACCATCTACTGGTACATTGACTTCTTTACTGCTCAATTTAGTTTCTGTCTGGAAGTTCACATTGTAAAGAATCATCCAGAGATAAAAGTGTTTAGAGAATATTTTTCAATAAGCTAACCCAATTTAATCCAATAATGAACAAGAAATCATCACTGATGAGGATCTCAATGATTAAGTTGTAATTTGCTACCTTTAAATACTTCCTTACTGTACTTTAAGATTAAATACTCAAGGGGTGAGGTGAAGAAGTATCATTTTTCTTTCAGCTTTCTTACATGTGACAGAATACTTATATTTACCTGCTAGATAAGATTAGACTATACATTTTCCCACGGTTCAAGAGGTCTTTGAAAATGAACATTAAGATACCACACACACACATGCCACATATAATTTTAGTTGTTGTTGGTGACTTAAAAGAATTTCATGGAGGAATATCATGACCAAATTTCTTTCAAAAGTGATGAAATGACACTCAAACCAAAGATCTATTCTCAGTCATAAATAAAATAAAAAACCTTATAATTAACCTTCAAGAAAACTTTACAATTATTGTACATGCATGGCTATAATCCCCTCATTATAACTGGCTTTTCCTGTTTTGAATCAGCTTTATGTCACGTGCAAGGACAGCAGGCATGCATGATTCTGGACTCATCTAATCACACCACACAGAAAGTATTCAGAGGTCAAAATTGCAATTTACTTGTAAATACATGTAGTTAGGCAGTTAAGTCAGACATCACAGTGTACATACACAGTTTAAAGCTGCTTAGGATGTTATACTGTTCTCCTACAAAGCTAACCCTACATGACTTGTGCAGCTATTATGTATTGCAGTGTAATTGAATAACCAAGCAGTGAAAGAGTTTGAGGATTACATCACTCAGTTTTAAAGTTTAAATGGATGAGTAAACAAGGTATTTTGAGCAGGATCAGTGGTCAATTCTGTCTTCCAAAGATACTTCCCGGAGATGTTCCAAGTCCAATTAATGGGATCAATCCTGCCACAAGCATGCAGAATTTGTTGGTGTGTCTTTCTCTTACATCTTGTCAATCAGTAAGTCTGTCCCAGCAGGGCATAACAACATGATAAGCGTTTGGAAAGCTCTCTTTAATGTAAGTAGGAGTGCTAGAGACATCTTCCCAAGTGTCATTTTTCCAAACACTTCAATGTTTAAATACATAACTAGATAATGGGAGAAATTTGCTTAGATTAATGGGTAAACAGTCAACAGAAATTACATTTTGTAGGAAAAAATCTCAATAGCAATTTGCACAATAATCTGGAATATGTCAATTGAACAATCTCAAATTATGATGAAATATCCAGAGAACGCAAAGCAATACTACCCTCTCACATTATAATCTGAAAAGTAATTTAATTATTAAATTTACATCATTTACAAAATCGTTAAAAGCTCTGTGATTTTATTGTGAGCGTTTTGGGTTTATCAATAAAGCAGAGTTTCAATGTTTTCCTGGAAAACCTCGCAAAAAACAACAGTTTAGGACGGTCAATACTGAGCGTTATATTACACCGCGGTTTAGTATGAGCAGTTTTCCTGAAAACAAATACATTCAACTACGGCTAGATTTATCAAATGTTTTTCTCTTTAACCGCTAATACCTTTCAGTAAAAGACATATCATTTTCATCGCCTTATGCAACTTACTTATTTTGCTTCGAATTTGTTTGTCCAAACAGGGGGTTTAATGAGCACTTAATCTGTCTTTTTTAGCTTCTGATTTCACGAAATTAAAATACTGTAATAAAAGTTTGCTCTTTACTCAGGCAATATTGGATAAATTAAAATTAAATCTCGGGTTGTAAGCAAAATAAAACTTTCTTTTTTTCCTTTGTAAAAAGCGAATTTCGCAAGGTTTTCGTTGCTCGAATCTTTAGAAATTAAGCGGTAGAACGACTTACAAGAATGCGTATCTAATGTTCTAAAATAATCAACAATTTAACTCAAACATTGCAAGAAAGAAGTTGACTTGATTGATAAAGAAGAGAGACGTTTAGAATGATTCATACGCTAAAAGTTTTAGAAAAAAATGAATAAGCATCAGGGAAAACCCACTAGTGGAAAAAACCACACCAGGTAAATGTTTGCAGGTACAAAGAATTTTCCCGTTCCAAGGTCGTTATTGAATATTTCTTTTTCGAAAATTCCTTCTTTAGATTAAAAAAGCTTTCCTGAAAATGATTTATGCCGGACAAAGGTGTTCTAAAAAAATGAAAATAAATTCTCCCGGTTTGAAAACAAAAGCCGGAGCAATGTTTCCATAATAAGACATTACCATTGTCTGTTGCAGACCTGTGACGGAAATGCCCTCTTTCACGAGAAGCCACAACACGATTCTCGATATTGGGGAAAATTCATCAAAAAATTCATCAGGGTAAAGGATTTTATAAAAGGCAGATAAATATTCTATGATCAAAAGCACGCCAAGCTAGGTGCAGACGAGTTATAAACAACGTTCGTCTTCTCTTATCGGCCATAATGTAACCGCGTTGAGTTGTTATGCTCGTCACGCCTGAACGAATGTCTTGAGGGAAAACGTTTTTTTCAGCAAATGTTATTCCTTTTTTCAAAATTTATGTCTTTAAGGCGAAGCTCTTGAAGACACATCATTCATTTTAGAGTCTGAGACTAACCTTTCTTCTATAAGGGTTATCGTCAGCATGTTCCTTCACGTTTCATTTCATTTTCGTTTTCTTAATCGAGTCCGCATTCGAGTAATCAACCACAGAGATCTACAGTTTCGGCAAGGCTTCAGCGTTGACTGTTGCCAGTATTCGCTAGTAAAATGTATTTCCTCTTACCTTGTCGGCCTTGCTTTACACTGTAAGCAACGTCGTTGAATTCCAGATCGACTCGCTGTCTCGGTCGCTGCCAAAAACTTAGCCGTTCGAGGTATTCGCCGGCTTCGAGCATCGAATCTTTGCTATCCACGGAACTTGCGTCCTCTCCTGAACAGCATTTTACGGCTGTTTTGTAGTTCTCAGCTCGGCCAGAGATAAAATTTTCCATTTACTTTGCCCACTAGCAATTCCTGGGTATATTGTCTCTCAAATTATTATTTTTCGTTGGTCATGTGAGACCTTCTTCGTGCCTGTCTACGTCGACTCAAAGTCCAACCTGTGTAATTAATTAATAATTTATAAGTCGCATTTTCGGCGCAAAATGTCTAATTCTCTCTGTATCTCGGCAACTTGCGGTTAGAGAAAGCAGGTTGTAAGCCACCCGTTTAAACCAGGGAGTCCTGCCAGAAGATTCTCTTTGATAAATGAAATTAGACAGATTTCCTTAGAAGGGTCAAGTCTAACTGGTCTGCAGGATATGCGTGGATACGTCACAAACTTCTGGACAAATAATTTCGAAAGGTATAATTTTTCATAATTAACTACGTAAACAAATACCACTTATGGCACTTATCGCACTTGTTTCCGCGGGGTAGCTGCAAGACGGGGCTAAAACTTCACAGCAGTGATAAAACAATGCAAAAATATTCTTGTAAAGGCTAGCTAGAAGGGATTTTATCACAGGCAATTTTTATGGTAGTCTTAAAACAATTTTCTGTAGACGCACTCAAGTAGCCAACACTACAGATCGCCAATTTAGACGAATTTATTCATTCGTGGCTGAGCATTGTTCATAAGACTTGAAATTATAACAATAATGATAATAATAATAATAATAATAACCGAATTTACGACGACCTCCCACGTTTTTGGAAACCGGAAATAAAGTGTTCATTTTCAGTATTATTCCACGTGGAGATTATACACAATAGAAATATCCAAGTTATTCAAATGGCGAACTTCGACCGACTGATTTCATACATAAATCGGGAATTTTGACCCTGCGTGGAATTTCCTTCCTAACGATCGCCGAAGTAGCCACAAAATCACAAATTCCTTATTGACCCAGTTGTTATTTGAACTGAAATCGACTCGGCAACGTGATTAAATTAATAGATCGAGTTTGCGTTTCCAATCATTCTTAACCTCTCCCATGAGGCTTCTAACGGATTAACCTGAGAGATAAATTAGCGAGTTTCCCTTCAGCAATCTAAAATAGTCCAGAACAAGATTCCTTCCAATCCAGTGTTTTGTTCCAATTGACTTCAAATTAGTGATCATAAAAAATGTTAAAAAATGTTAAAAATTTGGTAAGGTGAGATTTTCAAAAACAAGATTATTAATATTTATCTGATAGATAAATCAGACAGTAGCAGGGGTAACCTGCATAATTTTTTAATAGGTCTTGTTTTAATCCCTTACACCTGACATTAGCATTCATAATCTCTCTACTTGGTGCCAAGTAGGAGAATTATTTGTTTAATAATCAAAGCTTCCTGGTTTGTCAAATATTTGCTTTATTCTTACAATTTTAATGAATGATTCAGCAATTTTACTGATTGTTCTTGAGGTTTAGCTCTTTTACATCTAAGAGTGACTACTATCTAATTTCTACTTACAATAATCACCTTTGAATCACACAGAGGTCACGAGAATTAAGGAAATGATCAACTAAAGAGGCTCTTGACTGTTAAACTAATTCTCCTTGTCAGCACCTTAGGAAATGTATAGAGAACAGTGTGGAGAATAATCATATTGACATTAAGGAGAAAAGGGTATAAAGAGCCCTGGCACTGCATAGCAGAGCCAGTTAATAAAGACAAAAATGAACATACCAAAGAAGGACACAATGTTTTTGTCTATTTGAAAACATCTTGAGAAGAATATTAATTCTTTTGTACAATGAATGTGTCCGAATTACCCTCAAGAATCTCAGACAGGAACTAAAGAAGTCTAACGAGTGATGAGCATTGAAAGAAAAGTAATAAATGCACAAGTTATGCAGAGGCCTTGTACAAAAATTTTAAGTATATAAGCTAAATGTTTTTACTTTCTTAATAATAATAATAATAATAATAATAATAAAAGATTTATACTGCGCCAGTATCCTACTGTTCAAAGGCGCCTACAAAAACTTTAACATTAACACTTAACCCTTTAGTTACCAAGTTTCTGAGAGGTAATTTACTGCGACCGCACCTAGTCACAAAAACTGGGAAATAACTTTTTAGTGTCAATCAATACCACCCCCATAACTATATATCACAGTAATCATCAGAAATTGATCTTTCACTTGCACTATATTTCAGCACAATTTATCAAAAAAATAGGCTATCCCCTAGCCAATTTATTCATGAATCAAAATTTCAGTGAGCAACAATCATGAACACTACATGATCATTCTTGAGTGCTTATAATGACACCTTTCTAATTTTATGCTGAGTAAAAGGGCACACCTTTGCACTTTAGAATACTGAAAACCTTACTGAAATATGTTAAATAACCATGAAGTTATGCCCTTTTTTATGGCGGCGAGTGGAAAAAAATAAAAAGCCTCGGCAACAGGTAACTTATCTATTCCTACCAAACCTCCAACTTTGTGTCAGTTGCTGTCACAAAAAAACTTCCTTTCTGGAGTTGATAACCCCCAAAGGTTTTGGATAATCACTCACAGGTTGTTATTTACATGCACATGATTTATCTGCCTTTGAATAATGGATCAAACAAGTCATGAGCATTGATGAGCTTGTATTGTTGCATTCATCATTAACACTCTTTAGAAGTTTCTATGTTTTTCAGAAGGAAAGCTAATAAAACAATGTAACATAAAATGAGAATTCATGATTGTGTTCTGATCTTAAGCATTTAGTCAGTATTCCACTCTGGTGTGCCACATATTCCAACAAGACTTCTGCTTGTTGACACAAAGTGGAACTTTACAAACTTCACACTGCACTGCAGACTTCTTGCAGGGTCATTTTTCACTGTAAACAAACGAAAGAAAAAGAATATAGTTTCAAAAAATATAAAGAAAGCAATGAACAAATCATATCCGCTAAGAACAAGTAAAAACGTCTTGAAATCATTGAATTTCAAAGAAAAACACTGAAATGCTAACCTTCACTCGCATCTGAATTGTGCTCACTGCTGCCAGAAGCCTCTCGTTCCTCATAACCTAAATCTTCTTCACTTTCCTCACTCCATTCTGAAATGTCACCTTCACTTTCATCGGAGTTTTCATCATCGGAACCACCTCTAACACATTTTCTTATCACCTCAGCTAGAGGAATACTTCCGGACGCCATTTTTAAAAGCCACGTACACAACAAATGTCTCCTTCCCTTTCAAAAACGCTGTTGAAGTCACTAAAACTACTCGAAAACGATTTCAAAATGAATGCCAAGCATTTAACTTTCCCATAATACACTCAGCTCCTGCCTGAGTAACCAGGTCTGATATTAATAATTCAAAATGGCTGTCAGGGCCAAAATCGTACAAATTTGTACGACTGGTAACTAAAGGGTTAATCGT